CAGTTTAGAGGCGGAGCTCTTCAAATAAGAAATACAGTTCCAGCTGACAACAATGCAATTGCTACACCATTAGTACCAGCTCATACCGTTTTTGATGAAGACTGGTTAATATCCGGTGGTCGACCAACAGAATTAGCCCCCAATGCCCCCAATGCTAATGCAGGAGGAAATACTATAGCTCCAGGGATCCGCATTGGACAGATAATATACTGGTTCAGAACTAATTATCCAACAATAACTGCTGAGAAATCAAAACTTGTATTTAATAATATTACTCAAGGAACTGATCCTATAGGCCGATTCTATGCACATTTAAAAAGAATGGTTGTACTTGCTTATCCAGCACTCCCAGCATTAAATCGGGAAGAAATGGTTAGACAGCAATTCTTTCAGGGCCTTTCTCCTGATAATAAAATAGAAGTAAGACGTATCGGTCTTGAACATCCAATTTCCACTTTACTACCAAAATTAGAAGAAATCGAAAGACAGAAGGCTGAAATGATGTTAGGCCAGTATGATCCCAATTCGCATCCAGTCACCTCTCGTTCACGATCTACAGCTAATACAAAAGACAGTTACTCGAGTAATACAGGTGTGAGTAGAAATGAAATGGAAAATTATGTAAAATCTATGATACCATCCACACAATCTCAACCTATTTCTACACAATTAGCTTCTCAGCAAATACAAACATCACAACCATCTCAGCCACCTCAACCTTACTATGGATCACAACCCAAAGGAACGTACCAATTTATACGAGATACAAACATTGGTAGATTTATACAATGGATCACTGGGGAAGTTCCAGAATTTGTTCCCGTTCCCAAGCCCGATTTACCTCCAAAACCACAGATAAAAAAAGTAGAAGTCGACTCTGATGAAGAACTTTCTAATCACATGAGTAAGTTGTCAATAAATAAGGCTATATCTAAACTGGTCAAGAAGGAGATTAAGAAAACATCCCAACGCAAATGTTCAAATTGCAATAGGACAGGACATAATTCTCGCAAATGTTCTCGAAAAAAGAAAAGCAGATCCAAGAAGAAAGGTAAGATTAATCTTGCTACTGTATATTCAGATTCCGAGTCTAGTACTAGTACTAGCTCTTCTAACAATGATTCTAATTCTGGTTCCGAATCGGAATCTGATTCTGAGAATGACTTAACTGAGGCTGAAATCTCGAAAATTATCAATGCTGTTAAATCAAAAAAAAAAAGTAAAGCGGAAGAGTAAATCATCCTCTAAGAAAACATCCAAATCTCGTAAGACTAAACAGAAAGGTGTTTCTACTTCCAATAGGGGCGGAACCCCATTGCAAAGCAGGCCATCGGGCGATTCTTCGAATCATAAGTCCAAAGATAAATCGACTACCCTTGAGCGGAATATTCGTCGAATTTTATTAGATATGCTTGAAAAGGTCTTACTCCCGCATCAGTTAGAGAAACTTAAACCTGAAAACAAAAATTTAGCTATTCCTGATTTCATAAATCGCCGAGAACCAATATCAGAGATACCCGAATCAGATGATGAAGAGGAAACATTGAACGATCCTATGGAGATAGATTTTGTTCGTCGGAAAGAACCCGTAATTAGTATTGCAACTATACCAGTTAAAATCAAACGCTTAAAAATTCCGGCATTGGTACTAGATAGTGGGGCTGAACCTCCAATTACGTCAGAAGATATTGTTAAACGTGTAAATTGGCCAATTGATAAATCAGAAAAATATGATCTTAGCGGTGTTGCAACAGTCCCAACAGAATCTATTGGCATTGCTCGTAATTTCCCAATAACATTCCCTCCAGGTTTTACTATACGTGAAGATTTTGT